CCTTCCTGGTAAGCACAAGGTCCGGAGTTTGATCTCTGGTACCAAAAAAAAGGGGGGAGGGGAGGGGAGAGGTAAGTCTGTACTCTTTCCAGGTGTGTCCAAGCTGCGCCCACAGGCTGGGCTGGACACCTGGCTTGCGTGGGCCACAGAGTGAAGATGAATTGCCTCGCACCACATACAAGATATTAACAAAACTTTTATTTTTAAAGTATTATGACTGGAATGTCTAGCCCATGGGTCTGACACATCTGGCAGGAAAACAAGCACTCACTCCAAGTTGATGAGAGATTTTATGTTGGTGCCATCTTTTTAGGAAAATGTTTTTTGCAAATATTACAATGAACACAATTCACAAATTCAAAGGCAGCTAAAAGGTCTTCCAGGAAATTACTCTATATCATCCCGTGCAGTTTTGAGGATGCTGCTCTATTATCTGTATGACAGAAAATCGGTATCTTAATATCAACTGATAGAAAATGGTTAACTAACTCAGATAATGCAACATCTTGCCACTGAAAAAGATCTACATCATTTCCCTGAGTTAAGGAAAAAAAAAAAAAAAGGCCAAAGTCACAGAACTGGGTGTACAACAATTCAAGTGAGGCCAAGTTTTCTAAAAATCAATCAAAATATTAATCTGGAGACCAGGCAAGTGTGGCAAATTCAAAATAACGCTTTTGTCTTCCTTTTCTGTACTGTTACTTTCTTCAACCTGGCAATTACAACTGTAATAATATAAATAGAAACTAAGAAAAATATTGATATTTACATCAAATTTTGAAATAATGGTTCACTATCCTGAATTACATGTTAAAAAGAAATCTGGGCCAGGCACAGTGAGTGACAGACACCTGTGATCCCAGCACTCAGGAGGCTGAGGCAGGAGGACTAATAGGAGATGAAGGCCAGCCTAAGCTACACAGTGAGCTCAAGGACAGCCTGACTTACACAGTGAGAGACCCTACCTCAAAAAATAAAAAAATTTAAAAATCTGGTCTTTCAGGTGATTTAGGGAAGGGTACACATACAAGAGATACAAAACAATAAGCTAACTACTACAGAGACTGACACACACTAGGCAGGCCAGCAAAGAAAAAAAATACCAACCAGGCTTTCTTCTACTTTAAACACAAGAGGATACAAGCTAAGAAGAGCGCGGCCATTCTCCTGCAGCACTGAAGGCATCCACGCTCAACTTACACACGGCTCAGCTATCACGGCTGGGCTGTAACCCTGAGTTACCCTCAAAAAGAGAGCAACTCGAGTTGCAGAATCTATTCTTTCGAATTCTAACTACATAGCTTCCTGACAAAAAGAAAAGGCTCTCCACCAATAGGCATGCAAATACAAATAAATTCATTAAACAAACAAATACAGAAAATCATGGTAATTTCATAAGCTATTAAGATTTAAAAATACCTTATGTTTCTTTTGGCAGAAGCACAAATACACTGCAGAGGAAAGAAAGATCCTCAAGAGGATCTGAGTTCAATCCCCAGTACCAAAAAAACAACAACAACAAAAAAAAGGGGCCGGGGATTTAGCTCAGTGGTTCGGGCGCCTGCCTCGCAAGCACAAGGACCTGAGTTCGATCCCCAGTACCAAAAAAACAAAAAACAAATAAAAAAAAAGATCCTGGAGGGCAGTGTTCGTTCGCTAAAAATATTCAAATCAAGAAACCAAATACTGCAGGAGCCAGGGATTTAGCTCACTGGTTCTCGTGACTGACTCGCAAGTGCCAAGGACCTGAGTTCGATCCCTAGTACCAAAAAAAACCAACAACAACAACAAGTTCCTGGAGGAGGGCAGTGTTCGTTAGCTAAAGATAATATTCAAATCAAGAAACCAAATACTGCAGGGGCCAGGGATTTAGCTCATTGGTTCTGGCGACTGACTCGCAAGTGCCAAGGACATGAGTTCAATTCCTGGTACCAAAAAAAAAAAAGAAACCAAATACTGCAGAACTCTTTCAAAATGGTGTTGTTACAGGTGTCATTCATTCCATAAATACAATTGGGGTTTATTCTTTAAAAAGGATTTGCCACTTAGGAGGCTGAAGCAGGAGAACTGTTGAGTTCAAGACCAGCCTGGCTACTTGGTGAGTTCAAGGCCAGCATGGACTAAATATATAGCAAGACCTGTCTCTCCCACCCCCAAAAGGCCCAAACCAAGCTCTTTTTTTTTTTTTGTACCAGGGCTTCAACTCGGGTCCTTGCACTTGAAAGGCAGGCAGCAGAACCACTGAGCTAAGTCCCCGGCCCCCAAGCACTTTTAATGAAATTAAATAAGCCAAAGTAATTCCAATGGAGTGACATCAATTATCCTCTGGTTGATAACTGGTTTTAAAAGGGTCGTGTGAGAGGGCACATGACATTTGCCCTACCATGTGACTTAAACCTTACCCCGGCCTTCCTCCTGATATTCCCCTGATCATCTTACCCTGAGGAGGACTCGCTCTCACACTGAGCAAGTGCTCCAGAGACCGCAGTATGTCATGCTGCGTGGTGGTCCCAACAGCCTAGCACGACTTTAGCACGGTTCTGCCATACATTCCTTCCTCTCTGGCAGTGTCCGGCAGCAGCCTGGTGTAAAGAACACTGACCTAGAAAAGCGTCTGGGCCCACTCACCATCCTTTGTAATTTTCAGATTAATAGATCCATATGTGATATGAAAATCTGACTCAGGAAATAAATCAGGCTAGATATTTAAACTTTTAACAGTAAAAAGAATACAAACTTCATTCCTATATTTTAAGGATACTGAGGTTTATAACCATTCAAAAATGACAAAATAGGGGCCAGGGATTTAGCTCAGTGGCACTATGCTGGTCTTGCAAGTAAGGCCCTGAGTTTGGTACTCAGTACCGTTAAAAAAAACACCCAAAATGACAAAATGTGATTTTTTTAAAAAATCTATGAAATTATTAAAGCTATAGTATTACAATTTCAAAATATCATCCACATACCAGATTATAGATCTTTTAACAATTAAAAATATGAATGGAGGAAATTTTTCATAAAACACTTATCCTTTTATGTTTTTTTGCATTTTTTAAAATAGAAAACTTTTAAATTAGAAACCCCAAAATGTACTTCTCTTTAAAAAAAAAAAAAGTGATTGTGGTTCCGCCACCTGCCTCCTTGCAAGCTCAAGGACCCAAGTTTAATC